CGAGGGTTTCTGCATGAATCTATTTTCTAGTTAGTAAAGTACTTGAGAGAGTTGTTTTTAATTAATCAGATATATAAATTTCTCAGTGATATAAAACTCTAAATATTTGGGGAAATATCAATCTGGCTTTCGGCCAAGGAATTTAACTCTGACCGCGTTCATTTAGATGTGTGACGCATTCTATGAAAACATGGATAATGGTGAGTTGATGGTGTTGTTTTCCTTGATATCCGTAAAGTTTTTTATTTAATTAATCACGAGATCCTATTGCAAAAGATGAAAGGTCAATTTGGTATAACAAATATTGAATTGGTTCTGCATGATAAATAGAGAACAAGCGTGCATTGTTGATGGCACAATGTCAACATCTAAAAAGATTGTTTGTGGTGTTCGGCAGGGATCAATCCTAGGTCCTTTATTGTTTTTACTTTACATTAATGATCTACCAGATTGTCTGGATAAAACCACCTCTTGTTTATATGCCGATGACACTCAAATTTCGTCGGCCGCAAATGATTTAACGGAACCTACTGAAAATCTAAATAATGATTTGAAAAAATCAGCAATTGGTTTATTAGAAAGAAATTGCGACACCATCAAACAAACAACTAAAACAAAGCTAATGTATATTGCATGGGTCGAGGTACAACCTCAAAACAATGAATTGCGATCTTCTTGTAATTATGTATTGGCGTATTATCATTCACATTATTGACGTATATTGCCTTTATTGGTCATATTTGGAACAAACTAACCTGAAACAGCCGCATATTATGTCGACAGTGTCAATCTTGTAAATAATTTCAAACTTATAACACTATTGTTTGTGGAAACACCACGTAAATTTACACAATAGTATAAAATATACAATAGTATAGAGTAGTTACAAAATTACTGCACACGCGAGTGCACAAAGCAAAATTTATGCATTTATTTAATGCACAACAACAGTAATATGATCTATAGCAATTCGATTTCAATTCCCAGGGGCTTAAAATATTTTATGCTTAAGAATTAAGAATTGCAAAGTGATTTCTTAGGAAATTCCGAGGTTGCTTTGTTTTATACACCCTGTAGTATTAATATATGTTTTATCGCCATGCAAATTGCAAACCTACAAAGAACTTAATTTCAATCTTGTACATAATTATAGGTAGTATAATTAGGTAGTATAATGTAATATTGTATTATAGATCTTCTATTGTAATTATATGGGTTCATTTAATTATGTCGTGAATTTTTTGTCATGAGCCTCTGACTCTCTAAGTATATAGTATATATACAATATGAAAGATGTAAAAATGCATAGCCTATCGAAGGGAAGATGGCTGTGAAACTCATTAGAATAACACAATATAACTCATTATCTATGTTGGTCAACGTTTATTCATAAATCTGGTCGTTCACCGTCACGTGTGTATTGTATTCTTGCCCAACTAACCAATAGCAATGTTTTAGGAAAGTCACCTATCCGTGACTCGAACAATAGGAAAACTGGAAATTGCTATTGGTGGATTTGGTAAAAATACAATATACACGTGACGGTGAAACGACCAGATTTATGAATAAACGTTGACTATAACATAGATAATGAGCTATATTGTTATTCTAATGAGTTTCACATCCATCTTCCCTTCGATAGGCTATGAAAAATGTCACAACTACTAAGAAGCGAATGTTATATACTTATATTGCGTGTTAAACGTTGACAAGCCGTGCTGTGCAGTATGAGACTTTCAACACTTCAGTCAAAACAAGTCATTATCGTGTTTTATTTTAGCTGGTTCCAGCGATAAATGATTACACCACATTCCCAATTTCCCCCAAATTTTTAGGTAATAAGACAGTTCACGTCACGTAATAATTAAGACAGTTCACGTCGTGTTAGAGTATTAAATCCAGTTTTCCACTAGATACTATAGTATACGTGAATCTCTTCGTATATGTTGCGGGAAAATGTCGCGCGCGTTTTTATTCTAAACTGAATAATTGTGACGTAATATGATAACGAGGCAAGCTACAATGCTACAGTATAGGCATTATACATGAATCATTCATGAATACATTGTATGATTGGGCAGAAAAGGACATGGCTCGCGTGAAAAAATCCATTGGTAGAAATTTGCACATTGTATATTGCGAAAAAAACATCACGCGTGCTGAAATTCAGCCTGTCCACAAATTGCTCGGTAACTTTTCCTTGCATCATGTGCAACTTTTCTCTTAGCTGGCAAGTTCTCTAGCTTTAAGCAACTATTCGGCATTTTTAATGGTAATTATCCAATTTTGCTAGTATAAAGTAAGTTCGATGGAGGAATGTTAAAGAATTATATAATTTTTTGCTCCAGTTCAAGCGAATGTGCGAATTTTGACACATCGTATTTTTAAAACACTTGATCCCACTTTGCAAATACCACAAATACAAAATCTAACAGCAACTGAGCAAGCAACCTTGCATGGGCAGCTCTCTTTAAAAACTGGCAACTTTAGGAGAAAAAGAGCATTTTTCGAGAACTTTTTTCGAAACTTTGAGCACTTTTGGACAGCAAGCCTACGCGCACTTCGAGATTTCTGAACTGAGCAATTATGACGTCATATGGAAACGTAGAATTTCGTAATAAGTAAATAAAATTAAGTTAAGTTCGTACTTACCAAACGTCTTTTCACCGCTGAAAGGTCTTGTCAGCGGTTTAGAACTGACCAAAACAATGATCAGCCCTAGTAAATGCAATCCATACATTTCAAAACTCACGTAGGAGTTTCAAAACAACACTTTATAAGAGCTCGGTAAAACATGTCTATATGTATCGACATTCGCCCCGAGAATAAATAATTGGCAATTATGATGACGTTTAAATCGAAATCCAAATCAATAATTACGTCATAAGAAAATCAACTCTTCTAATTTCTTAATTAGAATTTTATACGGGGTAGATTTGTGTTCTTTGCAAATTATTATTTACTCTGAGTCAATTGGTAACTTATGTTGTCAAGAATGACTATATTACTAACAATCTACCAATTGACAGAAAAAGAGCTGCACTTTTATTACTGCGCGCATAACGTTTTCCACCTTTTCAAAACATGTAATTTATAATTTATCAATTTCTTCTGTTCATTTATTCTGGACATTTCACTTTCTGCTCCCTAAGTGGAAAGACGAGAGGGCAAGTGGGGAAGATTTTCGTAGAGGGACAGTTTTTATTCATTATACATTCAGGAAATTTGCAAATCATATCCAGATGTCTTGTGGGTTGTCAAAGCATTATATCTGAATTGGAACTTAATGTTAAAAATTTGCTAATTATCTCCAAATTATGCATTTATGCGTGGAAGAAACGGGACCTGGGGATTATCCAATAGAAAATTTGTTATATTTTTGAAGCTCGAAGACTACATTCCTTGCATTTCCTAGTCTGGAGAGAATTACGTTGTGTATAATAATCATGAATTAAAACACCATTTCTCTTCTATCATTACCATTGTTAACTTGATAAAGTAAATTTTTTCTTTATTTATGTAGTAAGAGGACGCTTCAACCGAAGTTTTGTTATTGGTTTGACCAATCGTGACGTACTGACGTAATATTAAAAACAAGTGGCATTTTACTCGTCCAATGGTTGTGTGTGTTTCACCCAAGTATTATATTCACCCAAAGTGAAAAGATGACACTACGAGTAAATGTAATGAACCAGTACCAGTAAAAGCAGAATATCCAGGTAATGAACGAAAAGCGCGTCTTATACTTTGTGCAAGTATAGGAGATATAGGAGAGACCAACATTAATTAATCAAATCATACGGGCGAACAACAAACATATCTCTATGCTCGGAGGCCGGAACTCTAGATTCCTCAGGGCTTCACTGGAACATAAAAAATCTTCTGGGTTAAGAACATGAAATCAAAGAAAGTAATACCCAAGTCAGTCAGCGAGGCAGTAGTCTTTCCTTTGCTTTCCCCACACCGCCACTAATTGATTTAGCCACGCCAACAAACTTAAGTTCTTAACGGTTTTTAGTTTAAATTACTTTAATTAAACCCTTGCAAAACAATTCAAAGGTATTTTCATGTTTGAATGTTCTTGCTATCCTAATATGCTGCGTTTACACTTGGCAGTTTATAAGAAGTTAATTGTTATCGACCTCTTTGGTATTATGAGCTTTCACGTTCAACTTGCTTGAAAAACGTCAGCTAGTCGTCAGTAATGCTTAATTTAATGTTGTTTTGAGAATGAGAAAGCGGTTGAGAATAACCCTGGGACCACGAATTATTCACAGCTTTCGTCTTGCATGACAAATTTCTTTGTTTCGAAAGCGCGTCGTTGAGCCGGCCCCGTCGTAGATCGTAAACTCTCTAATAACTACAGTACGTACGAAGTTGACGCAGGACGAAGGTTTGACTAACTTCACATCATTCCAGGCGATAGTAAAGATATTCGTTTCTCATCGAACATAAATCCACAAAGTTTTGTATAAATTAACCGTGTGTAAAGCCAGACCTATATTGTTTAATTAAAACTAAGTATTTCTTATTAACAAATTAAATTACTAAGACCTTGTAAATACTGTTTTGTTTGAAAAATATTTTCGTTGTTTCAGTTTGCTCTTTTTTGTTTTGTTATGGTACATGCTAAAACAAGTCTTGGTGGGCAAGGATATCCAGAGCTGAGCAACCAATCAAATTGCGCGAAAAGCAGTAATCCACCTGCGGAGCATATGCTAATTGTTAATTTTTATTTTAAATTAAAAATTAATCTCATGCGTCACGTTTAAATTATATGCATTCGATGTTTCAGTGTTACCAGCATCATACATGCAGTCGTCTTTGCCATTGCATGGCTGCAGGTGCCAAATGATGATGTCATGATGACTGTCATCTGTAGCACAGTCATTGTGTCGATTAAGCATTTGAGGTAACATACTGATCAATTTTCAACTAGCATCCTTGTTCAAAATCTCCGCAGGAAAGTTCATCGTCAGACTTTGCATGCAGACTCGGAACGACTAATCATGAGTGAGTGCTGCTTTTTTAGTACGGAGCACTGAAGTGCGGAGTGATATTTTTTGGAAATAATGGATTTATATGAATATAAAGATCATAATAAAGAGGAGATTACTGAGCAATCGCTATCCGGTAACATTGGCAATGGCAACTGATAAGACCTCGATAAGGTAAACCCATGAGTGAAGTAAAAATGGATACAACCATCAGAAATCTAGTATGCTTCAATCGTAACTAAAAGTTAGAGGGAATTATGTATATCAATAGAAGTCGGAAGTAATGACTGTCAATAACTAAAAGTAGTCTACAGCCAATTCAAAAAAGGTTGTCCTTTGCAAACTTTAAACTCTAAACCTTAAACCGTAAACTCTAAGCGTGCAAAGCATAATGAGAGCATCATTTAATCAGTTTAAAAATCATACGTGAGGGCCCATTTCTTAGAGACATGGTAAATATCTCGTTACAAGAACACTATTCATTCACAAGCAAATAGCTGCAATATTGAACTACTAAACTTTGAAACTTGTGCTCCTATTAAGCTTTGCGCGCTTAGAATTTAAGGTTTATACTAATTCCGGTTATCAACAAGTGACTAGTGAATCTTTTTGCGCGAAGTTAAGGAATTTGTATTACAGTTTAAATTGAAAAGGATTATTAGAATAAGGCTCGCTCGAAAAGCGAAAAAATTCACTGCCAAATTTGCATATATTGCGAAAAAATATTACGCGCGCTTCGAGATGTCTATAGCAAGGCGGCTGGTTATACTATTGCAAGAATATCATAGTTTTACTGCTCTAGTTGGATCGCGCACAAGCGTATAATCAGCTATGTACAGGCCTCGAATTTCCCTGAAATCAATCGATGGCAATGGCGTTAAAAATTTCCGTAGAACATAACAGGTGTCCACGGCAATTTTGGTAGTTTCCATGACAAGCTAGAAACATGTTTACGTATCTCTTTAGTGTTTTTTTTCGAAGAAAACTGAGACTAAAATAGTAGTTTACGCATGATTTGGTCAACATCTGAATTCAAGTATCAAAATAGTATAATGCACAGTGAATAGTATAAAAATTATGCTATACGGCAAGAAATTGCCGTCGTTGCCGCACTGATCCACGGCATTTTGTTCCCTCTCTATGGCAATTGCCGCGATAAAATTCAAGTCCTGGCTATGTATACACGAAAAGGACATGTAAAAACTCGAGTCGTACCAAAAAGTAAATAAAATTATAAGTTAAGTTTGCGTACTTACCAAACGTCTTTTCACTGCTGAAAGGTCTTGTCAGCGGTTTAGAACTGACCAAAACAATGATCAGCCCTAGTAAATGCAATCCATACATTTCAAAACTCACGTAGGAGTTTCAAAACAACACTTTATAAGAGCTCGGTAAAACATGTCTATATGTATCGACATTCGCCCCGAGAATAAATTACTGGCAATTATGATGACGTTTGAATCAATTTCCAATCAATGATTACGTCATAAGAGGCTTCTAATTTGAATTAGAGTTTATACGGACTGAAAATAAATGCTGGAATCGCAAATTATGATTTACTCAGAGTTGATTCAAGTTACTGATGCTGTCGATACTACATGTTGCAACTACATGATCTTACCGTGCAAGTTTCGCAGCCCTTTTATGCTGTATAATTTATAATTTATATGCAATCTCTTCCCGTTCAGTCAATTCTAGGCCCACTTATAGGCCATTTTAGTTGACCATTTAAAAGAGCTCAGGCATGACATCACTGCATGGGCTGCTTGTATGTGAAAATGTAGTTAGAGTTACCACATTTAGCGCAAAAGTTAACTAATCAAAATCACTGCCAGAACCGTCACAGGCGCGAACGTTTAATCCTATTACTCCCTATTTAATTACATGAAGTGGCACGGTTAAATTAGGCCAATTACAATACAGGGACCTATAATAATATTGATATTTAAATGCTCAATGACCGTATGACCCCTGGCTTCCAGCATCCACGACCGCGAAACACGCGGAAATATTAAAATACACCAATTTTTAAGACACGTGCAGGAAATCATGGAACGACTTATAGACAGTAATCTTCAAGACCATTAGCAGTTTTAAAACTTTTAAAACATAACATGATGCTTTCAGACATTTCGAATTCCTAGTCATTACATGGCCTGTCGCTAATTATATACCAAGCGCAGTATGGAAAAAACCACAACCGGTATACATTTTTAGACGCATTTTTAGATTTTTAGATGAACAACAGTGACTTAAAACATTTCATCAGATAACTATAAATAAACAACTATTATGAAGCACAAAACAAGCTTTCGTTGGTAGGGATACAACTGCATGAAAAATATAAGGATAATAATTTCAACGTTTCAACGGAAGGCCCTGACGAAGGGTCAGGTAGTTACATCCCTACCATAGATATCTTATATACACTAGATAGTGCATCTAATTATTCTGCAATGATCCCTACCAAGATCTACCAACGAAAGCTTGTTATTATTGGTACTACAGGCTACACTGGCACAGACAGTTAATTATTATGAAGCACGACTAGTATGTAATGTAGTGTCCAACATGAAATTCAGTTGCAGTTTACAAGACTGTGTTTGCGCCATTGCAATGAATAACTGGAACGCTACCTCCATAACCGGAAATTTGAAGCCAAACTTGAAGGCCAGTCCCAGTCTTTTCAAGCAGGCAAAGAGCGCTACCTTCGGATAAACTGACTATCTTCAGGTCAATCATGATATAAACACGCGGGTCTTGACTCTTGACCCCCAGACACGCGTGTCTGGCAGTTTATCTAAAGGTAGCGTTCCAGTTAAATTCATTTCAATGGTTTGCGATCAGTATACAGTTCAGTGCTTGGTAACCAAGCCTTCAAGTGATCCCAAAGGATCGATATCGTGAACCCACTAGAAAGTAACTTCCGGTTAAACTTCCGGTATATTGTTGTTTTTTTATTTTCTTCGAAAGAAGGCAGGTATATCATACTAGATATCAAATAATGCCATAATGCATTGAATTTCAGCAAAATAATATCGTTGATGGGTAACCTATGTGCATCATATCTTTTCCATCCCTCTATAACAATCAACAGGAAAAGGTACACGATTGTGAAAGATATTGGCGAAGGAGGTTAGTTTATCTAGAATATTCAAATTTATTCGAAATACTTCTCATATACGATATTTTGAACCCTAACTTCTTGTTTTTTTTGTTAATTAAAGGCGATAATTAAGTAATTGTTCAAAAGTCGGTTAGCTTTATCCTGGGTTAACTAAAATTTCAAAGCAATCTTACCAACAACCTATAGAAACATGAAGATAGTTTTCCAAAATTCATGTCTAGATCAATAGAAGTTTTATTTTCTAACGTTTTGAAATAAACAGATGTGCAAATGTACCCAAACTAAAACGGCAGGTTAAATTTTAACCCAGGGTGAGCACTAACCCAGCTTTGAACGACTGGCCCCGGTTGGGCAAAACCATTGTGCTGGTGAACATTTTACATGCAAACCTAAGAATTGTAAATATTAAATATTACATAATAATAGATATGCATTTGAGTATTTCCGGGGCTGTACTCAGGATTTTTCCACAGGGGCAATGAGACCTATATATAATAACATAATATTATAAAAATCGCTGTGGTTATATTCTTCCGACACCAGAACTTTAAGTACTCTTAATCCAACAAAAGTGTTTTCCTTGTTGTTTAAAGATGCTAAAATGATACCAAATAGATTTCAGTTGATTTCAAGCAATGCTTTGGCAGACAAGTGGTTAAGGCGCAATTGCACGGATCGTATCCCCCCCCCCCTCCCCAACATTTTTGGGAAAAAATTAGGGGCTCCAAATTAAAAATTTGCCTTGGGCCCCCGAATTTCTCTGTGCGTCCCTGACTGTGAGCAAACAAATGCTTTTCTATCAAACATGCGTAAAGATTGTGCAATGTAATACGCGTACATCACTAAGGCCCCCTTTACATGAGCCCGGGCTGATTTTCAACCCAGGTCAGCATTCCACAGGTGGTTATTTTGCCAACCCGGGTCAGCAATTCTCAACCCAGGCTGACTCAGATAATATTCCGAGCAACAGACTGGAGCAGAATGTATTTTTGGTGCTTATATATCCCTTTTAGTTTTGACACTATCTTTTATACGCTAATTAAGCCTTATATCTTTTATACGCTTATATTCCTTTTTTATCCGGGATTTAGCCATAGAAACTTCTGCCTTAAAGGCGTTTTCTTCCTTTTTTGATAGCTCCTTGCTATTGCACTGGCAGATCTACTGGACCAAAATATTAGGCATTGAACGCCAACGCCATACCTTCGCGCAACTTTGAATACATTGCGACAACATCGGAGTTGAAATCTACATTTTTATAATCCATCACCATCTTACAATCCTTCAGAGAAAGGATTAAGTGATCAATCATTTCAGATGACCACTGAAATGCAGGTTGAGCATTTTTTTCTTTTGGTTTTGGACTGTTTTTACTTGTTATACTGTATAATTTTATATGTCTGTCCTAAACAAAGAGACAGAGAAAATATGTGCACAAAATGTTGAAAATGTGATATGACGCTAGGTGCAAAGTTCACAATCAGGAATTTCCCACACTATACATGATCCCGGGTCAAGCCATTAACCCGGCTTTACATGAACCCGGCTTTACATAAACTTTTCACGCCTTCACACCTCGCCAACCCGGGTCGACCCGGGTCTTGAGAAGGGTGGCCCGGGTTGGCGAGGTGTGAAAGGTTGACCTGGCTATCGTGTAAACGATAAGAATGTGAGCTATTCTTTAAAAAAAAAACTGTCGGAATAATGTCGCTCTGGAATAGTTGATAACATTGTCCTCTGGCAAATTAATGGGATGAAATTTTCCCAATTCCCATATACTATAAATGCAAGAGAAGAAATTCATCCTGCTTACTGGGCTGTGTCACTACAAGCAGATTGGACTTGAACCTGGTGATTCTTTGTTGTTTTGCAACCTTCTTGACGTGCAATGTGTATAGTGGGTGTTCTCCCATTTATAAATTGTTCTGGTACTCTTTCCACAATACCATCTTTGCTGGTTCTCAACAATCTCTTCATAACCTCTTTACATATTACTGTATACTTTCTTCAGATATTTGTCTTGATTAATTAATTCTCATCCAACATTGTTAAGTTGCTTCCTGCTTGGCTCCAGGTTATTTGACAAGATAGTTCCTGGTGTCCATTCGAGTCCATGGTATCCAGACTGCATATTTCCCTTCTCGGCCATCTTCAGTTGTCTTTGTTCAATGCTCCCTCGAAAGTCTTGATGACAGTCCAACCACTCACTCTTGCTTACATCGTAGAATTCATGGACAATTGGACATGTTCAAATATAATGAGTATAACTTTGGCCACTCTCACAAGCATGCATGAGTTTCAAGATTATCAAATTGGGTCTTGTTCAGCTTCAAAACTTGAACATTAAGACTCATCTTTTTGAACAGTTTTGTGACTAGCTAGCTTATTATCTGGGGTTATAGTGTAAACCAGAACTACAACCAGTTACTGTATAGTTTACTTTATAGGATTTATTAGATTGCATTGATATCGAAGGAACTATAGACTCAGTTCCGAAATATCACATACTCAAACCGACCTGACCGCGTAGCTCAGTTTGCAGAGCATTGGGCTAGTATTCCAAAGGTCGTAGGTTCGATTCCCACCGTGGCCAGGCATATTTTTCAAGCTTGCCCGGTGTGGATATGCACTCAGAGTAACATCACAAGCATCTTATTTGCCTGAGTACATTACACCAACACAAAAAGGTCATAGTGTACAGTCACCATGTAGTATAGTGTACAACTATAGTTACTGTATAGTTTACTATTAGGCGCTATAGGAAGGTTTCATGATTTTTATTTTTCTCCATAATTCTCAGCCTTTTCCTATGTGCAATGCGTGCGGGACAACAAAAGAAGACTGTATGCTCTGGTAAGCTGAATTTAAATTTTCCCAGTTCGCCCATAAAAAAATTGGGACATTTTATGATTTTAATATACTCCAAATGGCATTTTCTAATCAAGTCCTATTCTAATCTTTGACAAGTTGAAATTTTTTCATGACTGACTGTGTATTCTGGTGTGAAAACTAGTCATACCACAGGCCATGAACAAAGAACACTTAAAACGTTAACTTTGTATGGCTTGCAAGGAAAATCCTAATCTGACTGTTCTAGATTTGAAAAAAGAGAATTGTTCAGCAAAACCTGTGAAAATTAGGAAGTTGTGAAATAAAAGACTGTTGACTGTACAGTGCAGTCTGCTGGAGTTAAACATGGTCATGCATAAGGCTCATGAGACCAATAGTACTGTATATATTAAATAATTCTTCTTTATTTTTGTTATGTGCAGAAAAGAGTCCGGCTGCAACTTCCTGAACAAGAAGAGGTTTGTCTTAATCATCCTTGTTGATTAATTACAGTATATAAACTTAATTTTTTACTGTTTCTTGATGTTAAGTTCAGTAAAGGCCCAGAATTCCAGACAGTACGCGTTATACACGTTTTGTGCATATTGTTTTTCAGGATCTGTGATTCCCAAGATCATCATGATGTTCATTGCTCTAAAATACAATTATAGCAGACCTCTTTCATCAAGTCGTTTACTCATAGCCGAATTTACACTTAAATGACTGCTACCCGAAACAAAATAGAGTGCTGCACCTTAATCACAGGGTCGATTCCTGCTAGTGGGCTACTGTATATAGTTGCATCATGGTCTAATACAAAACCCGCCTGTATTTAGTTCTATCGCGTGAGATCTATGCTCCAAAATCCTGTCTTACACTGTATCATTCTCCAATCATTCTGTTTTCTTGCAATTATGCTGTAGGCTTTCACAAGAGAAGTGAATGCTCACAATTCAGTCAGCCATCCAAATGTGTTACAACTTATTGAGTCAGAGGTATTGCGTCATAAAGGAGAAAAAGAGGGGAGAATGCTCGTCCCATATTATAAGGTAAATACTGTACTGTAAGTCAAATAAATAACACGGAGTTCATTTCTTATGGTAGACTGGTGTAGATTAAGTCATAGCTACAGTACTTTAGTGGAAACTATTGCAGTTGTTGCTTACTTGTGAGTGTGATGAGCTTGCCATCAATTTAAAATGCGCAAACAGGACCATTGCAAAACAACGGTAACTCCAAAAATGAACGTTTTAATAATTTCTTGCTTTAGTGGTTCCGTACTGTATTTTCTGGTAGGAGTAGTATCTGGTTCTTCATTCACCCTGTGGAACTTTGGGTTACATTACACATACAAGATAGCTACATCCGCCTACATACAGTATAATTCAGGGCTCGAAATAGCGGGCTGCCAATGGCCAAAAGCAGGCCGTATTTTAGAAATGGCAGGCGAAAACAAATTTGAACTACCAAAGTAAAAAGAAAATGGCAGGTGAAATTCTATAGATATATTTTATTTGCTTACAACAACTCATATATACTAGATCATTTAGTTGACTAAATATGTATATATTTGAAATGTAAATCCAAGTTTACTGTAGTAAAATAGACAAGTTTAAAAACACTAAGACATCGCCATTTTGGCAGTTCAGTGAATAAAAATGGCAGGCTATTTCACCTGCCAAAAAATTTAGACTGGCAGGCCATATTATTTCCAGGGGCGCACATTAGGGGGGGTGTGAGGGGGTGTGACACCCCCCCCCCCATGTTTTGTGAAATATATCTAAAAAGTCGGTCCCGAAACTTGTATGGGACGAAAAAAAGTCGGTCCGGCTAAAATCTGAAAGACATCATTTTGTGTCGAAAAAAGAAATAAGTGGACATTTTGGAAATGGAATCAAACAAAATTAGGCGACTTTTTGTGGTTGTAACTTTTCTTCCAATCTCGTCCTAAAATACGTGAAGTAGCGTTCTAATGAACCTAGAAATTCAAAATTTTTCTCGCGCCTTCGGCGCTCGCACTCGAAATCCATAAAAAATTTTGACCTCCCGAAAGTTTAGAGCAGAAGTTCTGAAAAACTAAACGTTTATTTAAACTCTTGGAATTCTATCCCTGTCTATGAGTCCATCCGCAATTTTTGAGGAGTCTACGTTCTAATAAATCGAAGAGAGGTTACCGAGGTATGTGGCAGTGTATAGCATTTATACACATTTAGATAACCGATTACATCCGCATCGAGTGAACACGCAGCTTTTCGAGTTTGAAGCTTAAATTGATTAAGACTGCCATTCGTTCAGTGATGAAAGAAAAAAGTCTAAGGGATCTAATCACTCTTGGATATGAAAAGGATCTCACGGATACAATATAATGGACCCAGACACTGTTGTTGATCGTTGGGCCGAGCTGCCAAAACAGAGCGCCTTATTTGTGTGAAGTAATTCCGATTGTCATTTTTCGATCAAATAAGCTGTGCAGGTGAACTATTTAAAAACTGATTTGACTGCCTGAAATCTATTGCTAATTGCTATAACTTTCTAAGCAATTTGAGTTGTCAGATATTTAATACTCTTAGTTGAATATCATGTGGGCACGCACTATAGATTTATTTTGAACCATTATTGTCTATATTTGAGCTCTTGACTTTAATAATGTACTATTCTTTAATAATATACTGTGGGCTTGTGGCTAATATACTGGCTATAAATTCCATTTAGAACAACAGGTTAATTTCTAACGGTCTACTTTTTGACACCCCTGTATGCTATTTTTTACATAGTTACTCGACTTTGTGCAATAACCACAGGCCGTCGCATGTCATGCAGACCTTTATCATTTAATCTGTGACAAACTGCAAAGAATGAAGATATTACCATGGATAATAAAGTACATGTTATTTTACAATCCATGGTATTACCCACACTTTCCTGCAACTTATTCAACATATAATAGTTAATTAAATACGCTTTCGGCCATTTAGTACTACTATAAATTGTAAATTTCGACATGCTAAAACGCTTTTTTCTGACTATCAGAATTCTGTTAAATCTTCCCCAAAGTCCAGGAAATGGCATTGCAGAGACTCTAAATTTAAAAATTTCCTCGGGCCTCGGCCCTCGCTTTCAGCCCTCCCCCTCCCCCCAAATCGAAAAGAGTTTCCTACGGCCCTGTGCCATACGTCCATGCAACTCTTAAATTTTATATTAATTGTATTTATAACAAGACTGTGACATTAATTAAACCGAACTTTCACCGGTTCACCGTTCACGAGTACTGTGCACACCTTAAAATAGTTGGCTTTTCTTATCAAACACAAATACTACAAAAGTCGGTCCCGGAAAATAGGACACCCCCCCAAATTTTTTTTGAATGTGCGCCCCTGGATGCTCAGAATGCAGAAAATAGCATTTCACGGTTTCAAATTTCAAAAATTTTCTTGGGATTATCCCTCTAATAAGTAATGATAAATTACAGATAATCTTCTTGTTTACTTTTTGTGCATTTTTCCATCTTTTATTTCAAATACAACTATAATTAGCATAAATTTTAGAGCAAATTTGGATGCTCAGAATGCAGGAAATGACATTTCCGGGAGTCAAATTTCAAAAATTTTCTGGGAGAGTACACCCCCAGACCCCCCATTCATGCGTGGTATATTTGCCACACACGTGGCTTTCAGCCATTGCTATCCCCCTCTAATATATTAATATCTCACAGAAAGGTCCCTTTTCAAAAAATGCCCCCCCACGGGAAAATCCTTAAAAAAGGCCCTGCGATGTTACTAGTATACATGAAACATGATAAAGGCTAACTATTCCCGATCGTCGATACGACGGCACGGCATTTCGAATCGAAAATTCTCACACTCAAATCGCTTTATTCTCCAAAATAATTCGCCAGCATGTACAACAAATGCCGTTCTTCGAAAACACGAATGTACTTCGGCGAGATGTACAAGTTTTGGACCATATTTTAACAATGGAAATCAAAACCCATTTTATATTGAACTTGCCCAGGCCGAAAATTACTACGGCGAACGTCTGCGCAACCAGGCCTCCTTTACCGTTGGATTTACAGGGGGGGGAAGCAAATATTTCCGGTAACAGCCAGCCAATCGCAACCATGATAGCGACTGCTTACATTATTTGAAATTTGATATTCAAAATAAAAACTCCTTCGATCGGATATTGTATAAAACTTGAGATGTTGTCGAAGAAAAGAAAACAAAACGATGGAGATTGTAGGAATTTAAGGAAGAAGAAATATACAGCGGATCTTTTTTGGAAAGCATGGTAGAATATGATACTTTAATTCGAAATATGATCGTTAATATATTAGTGGCATCCTTCCCCCCTGTAAATCTCAACGGTAAGGAGGCCTGGTTGCGCAGACGTTCGCCGTAGTAATTTTCGGCCTGGGCAAGTTCAATATAAAATGGGTTTTGATTTCCATTGTTAAAATATGGTCCAAAACTTGTACATCTCTCCGACGTATCTCCGTATTTTCGAAGAACGGCATCTGTTGTGCACGCTAGCGAATTTTCTTGGAGAATAAAGCGATTTGAGTGTGAGAATTTTCGATTCGAAGTGCCGTGCCGTCGGATCGACGATCGGAAATCGTTAGCCTTTATCATGTTTCATGTATACTAGTAACATCGAGTACAAAGTCTTGGAAAATATTAGTAGAACAAAGGAGGAATACAAGGAAAACACACACTATCAAATAGGCAAGTCAATTTCATTTTAAAATTTATATTTTATGACATATTTTTACTATAATATACATTACTATAATATACATTTATACTGTAAGTCTATACTGACCCTTGCGAGATTGGGCCGCCTGTGTGTGAAGTGTTTCCTTTGATCTAGAAGGTCAACCAAAGATCGCATGCAGCTTTCCTAGGTACTACAGTTCACGCCAAATCTCGCTGGCAAGGACATTGATCCTAGGGTAGATGAGGCACAACACCCCTCCTCCCCCTCCCATATTTTGGAGTAGGGGCGGGTTAGTGTATCAAAATAAACGCAATTCATCTTTTGTGCTTAATAACTTTCGAAATACTATTTCTAGTTAAACGCTTTTAGGCTTACTTCAAAGCCTGTTCTTTTCTCTTTCAAACAAACTATTATCCTTGTCTCCAATGCTAGTAATAATTGCACAGGAAAAGATTTAGTAAAACCTATCATTTTAGTTGCTGTTTAATTATGCAAGTTTACTATGTTATTGTTTAGTCGGTTTAAATGTTAGAATTTTCTTCTTTAAACTTTAATGTTGTCGTCACTACATCTGGAAAACCACGTAAGAACAAATTAAAAGTATTTTAAAAGAGACTAGGTTGTTTGAAAATCCTACCCGAATGCTAAAAATCATAGAATCAAAACATTCTGGTGTCTGAGCCAGAGTGTCATCGAATTGTGATGTAATGTAAACAGAAATTATAGCAAGATGATGTCAGTCAGCTTAGATGGTCCAAGCCAAAATTATATCGCATTTGAAGTTTCAAACTGTGTTAAAAGTAGTGGAAGAAAAGCCGTAATTATACTTATTGTTACAATCCATTTATTAAAATGCAACATTTTTTTGTTTTAATGAAAAAATCAGTTATTTTCATGAGAACGATTTGTTATTCCATCTCAATTTTTTTAATCTCCAATTGCAATAACGTAAAGTATTATTACCCGCGAACCAATGAGTCAAATTTAAAAAACAACCTACTGTTAGAAAGCTGAAAGGCTACGCTTTAAAATGAATGCAAACTTTAACGTTTTCGTCTATTATTTCTTTAGCAATTTACATTTCAGTCGAGCATTGCGCTTTTTTTGATACACCCTGTAGTTTAATCTTGATGTTATGTAGGTTTGCATACAACTACGCCCATGCATAAATAGAAATAACCGCTTGTCAGTGATTGTACTACCCGCATGCAAATACTAGAATAATTCTTTTATTCAGTTGAACTTGCAGTAAACGTGTTGAAGAGAATGTATATTGCATGCTGGCGAAAAACTTGTTCCTGTTCAGTTGGACTAACGTAGCTAAAATTGTTTCCAACTCTTGCGTTTCTGCATCTAATAGACAATTCCCATTAAGACTAATTTTAAAACTAGGCACGGAGATTGAAATAAATCACCACAGCTAGAAAGAGCGTGCAAAAATGAGTAAAATTGCAAAGTTTGGTCGCGAAATGCTGTAAAATGCGTTGCGCGAATGGGTCGTTCCAGAAAAGATCCATACTCCCCCCACAGAGGAAATTTCTGCCGTCTGGAGGGGGAGGGGAGAAAAAATTGTTTCTGATAATAGTAAATGTATTAGGACATCCGAAGGGGGTAGGGGGGTTAACTTCCTATTTCCTCCGTGGGGGTAGTATGGATGTTTTCTGGAATGACCCAATGTTGTAAAATGCGCAAAGTTTGCAAATGTACAAATACCGAAAATGGTAGCAATTTCCGCACGCAATACAAAAGTATACAAGTTGCAAACTTTGCAAGGCTATATATTTTCCGCATTTTACAACATGTCGCAACCAAACCTTGCAATTTTACTCATTTTAGTATGCTCTCTCTAGCTGTGGTGATTTATTTGCATCTCCTTGCCTAGTCTATATATACAATGGGAATTGACTATTGGTACTGATGGTAGCAGTGGTAATCTGTGAACCTGCCTAATCTACTAGGATAACAACCGAGTGGGCAGGGGGACTTCCATTGATCGTTCTTGAAAAATTCACTCGATATGACATATTGACAATATTGTTGAGGCATGAATGGAAAACATGAAGTTACGGCCACAAGCAAAGTGCAATGCGGGCCATACACACCGTTTTTCTTTGACTACATTCTCTATAATGCCGCTACAAGTTGAAAGAAAAATGCTCCGTGGAACATGGCAACGTTCCTTCGTGATAGACGGTCCCTCCGGGGGAGAGGTCTGTGTTCCCGTGTTTACATAGTAAGGCCCTGTTCACATGAACCCGGGACAGCGTTATGTCTCGGGGCAAGCAATTGTCGCGGGACAAAAATTGCCTCGGCTCCTTAATAAAAGAATAGTGCTGTTCACATGATATTTTACTTGTCCCGGGACAAGGATTGACCCGAGTGCCTCGCCTCTGTAGACATAGCCTGCATGGCAGGCGGTCTAAAATACCGCCTGCTGGGTTTGGCAGTGTAATTTGATAACCGCCCACTTTTTTGTCCGAGTCCAATTAGCCAATCAGCAAACACTAAATATATTTATAATCAAACTGTCAAACTATGTTGTTGTTTGGTCGCAAAATTGCAAATGTATAAAAATATGTCGACAAGAGGTAGAAAAGCAAGCGCGGAAAATGTAAATGACTTGTCGTTTGTTTACGTGTGCTTTGAAATTAAAATACGGGGCAATACGCCAATAGAGAAAATATCTTATATTCTTATATATCGTGGAGAAATTATTTATTTAAGGCAAGCAAAAGAAACGTTACGACAGTGGTAAAACCTTGGCCGAAATAAGCCGAATTGCCGGTTCAGTTCATTTAGGAATCGAAGTTAATTCTACCTCGGAACTATCCGACCAAGTTTGTAAACCGTGTGAGCGAAATATCCGAAATGCAAGCGAACTGATTGCCATAATCAAACGAGACATAAACGCGTTGCTTGTGTACGTTCGAACAAATAGACACTAGACAGTTGTATATTAAAAACCTCAGTTGCCAATATGAACTGTCTCGTCTCCCTAACGAAGCCGTGCGGTAACGAAAGCCTTAAAAAGTTCAGAAAGTGAAGCAGCTATTAATAGGCATAGGCGTAATAGTCCTGTTATAAATCCCGTTGCAAGAAAGACTATACATAAAAAAGTATATCGTGTTACATCGTGCGGTAACACTCTCTTAGGCTCTCTGGTTATTCGAAAATTTCTCGCTTTTAAATTATAGTTTTTGGATAAACTACATATCAAATTGTTTCTAACCATTTGGTGATTTCACTTGTTTAATTTTGGAGTTGTTTTGCAACGTATTTTTCGTGATATTCTGCGCGAAATTTTGTGCGTTGTAATATGTCTCGCCGCACAAAGAACAGTATGTCTACGCTTTCAGAAGCTGATGTTGAAAACTTTGTGGCGGAATTGTCCAGCACAGATAACGATAAAGAACACGTTTGCCCAACAGAGATGTCTGACCATAAAAACGAGGATGACAGCGAAACAAGTCAGCGAAAATTGAACGAGCACATGGTCAATGTTATCGACGAAACCGAAGGAAAAGCTGAAGCCGAAGTAAACACGAAGCGTTTAAACAGCGATGTATACAAGAGCTACGAAGAAGAAATAGCCAAAATAATGACAATAATAAATCATATGAAATCAAAACATGATGAAGATAATCGAAATGCCATCGCACGAGAGTTAGCCTCGGAAGCAAAAATAAAAACATTGCAAGATGTCAACAACACAATGGCGGCTGAAATTGCATACCTAAATCACACAGTGTCAGAACTTACCACTGACAATGGGAATATAAAAATAATTCTTGACATCAAACAGAATGAATGGATAAAAGCGTCGGGAAAACCTAGTACTCCAAAGGAAAATGGAAAGAAATTGCCCAGCACCAAAACATTAAACAGTTTTGAAGTCCTAGTTGATGAAAATGATGAAAATATATCATCGTCTGAATTAGCTTCAACCGAGAAATCGAAGGATAACATCAACAGCCAAATCTTGGACTACCGATCAACGAATAACTCAAAATTCCAAAATCTGAAAACGAATCAGAAGAGCCAAGCACATGGTCATATTAATAAAAAGAAGAACCAAGTCCTTTCTCAGAAGTCTGTTGCAGGAAAACAGAAAGAATATAGGAAGAAAGTTTTGGTGATTGGCGACTCAATGGTGAAACACATTGATCAGAAGAAGATTGAACGGGCTGCAGGTTGTGACTCAGTCGTTCACTCTTACAGTGGTGCAAGAGTGGAGCATATTGACGCGAAGTTTAAGGAATATTGGTCAGAAGATGAGCAACACGAGGCTGTTATTCTTCATTTGGGCACCAATAACCTTGGCTCTGAAGATCCAGAAGCAGTTGCTGCCAAGATGGATGGGCTTGTTGCCAACCTTAAAGATCATTCCAAAAAGATTGCCATATCCAGTGTCATAAAAAGGTATGATAACCGAGTGCCAGCTAGCAAGATTACCCACTTTAATAATTTAGTCAGCGAATTATGTGTGAAACATAATATAGCATTTTTAAATAATGACCATATAGACAGGTCATTCCTAAATCGCTCAAATTTGCACTTGAACCAGTCAGGTGATAGGGTGCTTGGAAGTGCTTTCTGTGCATATTTAAAATCAATTAGAGTTAAAACTGCTGGTAATATACCAAAAACAGTAGGTAATAATAGGCAGTTTTTTTACCAAACTCACAGACATTGGAACAGAGAATGGATGATGTATCTCCAACATGTCAATCAAATAATGAATCATTAAGTAATAATAGTTCCTCAAACAATGTGAGTAGCGATTTTTTCACTAGCCTTAACTCCATTCCAAATGAAAGAGGTTTTAAAATGGCTTTTCTTAACATTGTTAGTCTGCTCCCAAAAATTGATGAAATAAGGTATTCAATGTCAAACAAACACGTTGACCTTATTGCTTTCAATGAGACACGCCTCGATTCAAGTGTTAATGATGGCTTGATTCGAATTAATGATTATGATGTTGTGAGAAAAGACAGATCAAGAAATGGGGGTGGAGTTTGTATATACTTGCGTAGCTCCATCAACTATAAAGTAAGACATGATCTTGTTCCATCTGAACTAGAGGCTGTTTGTGTGGAAATTATAAAGCCACATAGTAGACCATTTCTAGTTATAACAGTTTATAGACCACCCAGTTCATCATCTGAATTCTTTGATCATCTTGAAAAATTAATCAAAGCTATTGATGATGAAAACAAGGAAATGTATTTTCTGGGTGATCTAAACTGTGATATGCTAAAACCAGATAAGGATTCAAATCCTCCAACAAAAAAATTAAAGTCATTATACGAGTTATATCAACTATCACAATTAATTGATGAAGCTACCCGGGTAACTATGACAACCTCTAGTCTAATTGATCACATAGTTACAAATACACCAGAAAAAAATTTTGATTCGGGTGTCATCCATACTGGATTAAGTGACCATAGTTTAGTATTTGCCCTAAGGAAAATTTACTTTTTCAAAAAACAAGAAAACAAAGTTGAGATTAGAAATATGAAAAAATTTGACAATCAAAAATTTGTTGAAGATTTAAGCCGACAGCCCTGGGAGAATGTTTATTTTTTTGCAGAAGATCCAAATGATATGTGGAAAATTTGGAAGAAATTATTCTTAAATGTCTTAGATAAACATGCACCAATTCAACAGAAAAAGATTAGAACAAAAAAAGTTCCTTGGATAACAAGTGTCATAAAGAATCTTATGAACACAAGGGACAGATTAAAAAGAAAAGCCATTATCACAAACCTAGAGATAGACTGGTTAAATTATAAAACAGCAAGAAACAAAGTTAATATTCAGCTAAAAAATGCCAAAAAAGATTACTACTCCACTAAGATTGCTGGTCAAAAACACAACCCCAAAGAGGCGTGGAAAACTATAAACAATATATTAGGTAGGCAAAGCAAACCAACAGTTGCAAACGAGTTAAAAGTAGGTGAAAATATCTTGACTAATACCCAAGATATTGCTGAGGGGTTTAACGATTACTTTTCAAATATTGGCCCTGATCTTGCTAGCAAAATTGATTCTACAAATTTCAACTATGAAACATATGTTGAGAATGCTAAATCAGAATTCGCTGCGTTCCAGCCAGTCACTGTCCAGAATGTCTACCAACTCTTACATTGTCTTTGTAGCAATAAAGCTACTGGAGTTGATAAGATTTCATGCAAAATTATTAAAATAGCTGCACCTGTCATTTCAGATTCCCTAACATACATATTCAATCAAGCTATTACTCTATCCATTTTCCCTGATGAATGGAAAACAGCTAGAGTAATACCTCTTTATAAGAATGGCCAACGAAACATGCCAGGAAATTACAGGCCAATTTCAGTTTTGCCAACCATTAGTAAAATTATGGAACGAATTCTATATGATCAACTATATGATTATTTCACTAAATTTGGGCATCTAAGCGATTGTCAATTTGGTTTTCGAAAATTTCACTCTACAACTACAGCATTACTGGACTGTACAAACGAGTGGTATATGAATCTAGACAGGAAAAAATTTAATCTGGTAATCTTAATTGACCTAAAGAAAGCATTTGATACTGTTGACCATCAAATTTTATTGAAAAAACTAGAGTTATATGGAGTAAAAGGGCAAGCCCTATCTTTTGTCCAATCGTATATCTCCAATAGAAAGCAGAAATGCCAAATTCAAAACTCTCTCTCATCAGAGAAACTGATCAAATGTGGAGTACCACAAGGGTCTATTTTAGGGCCACTATTTTTCCTACTATATATTAATGATTTGCCTCAATGTCTATATAAAACAAAACCTCGGCTGTTTGCTGACGATACGAACCTGACAGCTTCTGGAGACTCTATTACTGATCTTGAGGCTGCAGTGAATTCTGATTTAGAAAATCTTAGAAAATGGCTAATTGCCAATAAACTTAGCCTAAATGTAGCTAAGACAGAGTTTATGTTAATTGGCTCTAAACAAATGATTAGAAGTATTTCAGATCTACAACTAAACGTTAAAATTGAAAACGAATCAGTTAAGCAAGTTCATGAATCCATAACCCTTGGGGTGACAATTGACCAGCATTTATCTTGGAAAAGTAACACTGAGAATATTTGCAAGAAAATAACATCCGGTATATCTGCTCTTAGACGACTGAAAGAATTTGCTGATAAGCAAGCCCTTCTTTCTGTGTATAATGCTATTGTTCGCCCATACTTCGATTACTGCTGTGAAGTATGGGATGTGTTTGGTGAGACACAATCAAAAAGACTCCAAAAACTCCAAAATAGAGCTGCTCGAATCATTATGAATATGAGCAATGACACAGATCATTCTGTTGCTCTGCAAGCATTGGGTTGGAAGACACTTAAAACAGAAAGAAAGAAAGAAAGGGAAAGCAAAAATAATGTACAAATTATTAAATAAAATGGGTCCCAAGTCACTCTCTAATCTTTTCACATATAAAGGTGAGAAAACAAAGTATCACCTCCGAGATATTTCAAGTGGTCTTTGTCTACCACAACCGCGTACTAATAATATGAAAAAAAGTTTCATGTATGACGGAGCACACCTATGGAATTCAATTCCAAAAGAAATTAGAGAGAGCAAATCCCTTTCTGCCTTTCGGAAAAAAATCGTTACTCACATTGACTGATTGATTAATGATTTGTAAATATATCTAAATTACTTTAACTTATTTAATACTATATATCTTATATAATTTTGTAAATAGCTTTTTAGTGTATCTGTATAGTTTGCACACGCCCCCCGTGGAAATCAGCTTCGGTTGACGGGGTCAGCGTGTTTAAATAAAGTTTTTCTATCTATCTATACCCTTTTTCAGAAAGCGGTATCAATTTCCCGTGCGTAATACAAAATGACTGAAATACGGCAAACTTCGCAGGGCTATATTATCCGCAATTTACAACATTTCGCAACGAAACTTCGGAATATTACTAATTTTGTGATGCTCTTTCAAGCTGTGATGAAATGTTTTTCTAGGCTTGTCTAGATCAAAATTTTATTCATTAGGGAATAGGTCCATTGGAAGAAGTGAAATCCACATAAACATACCTCCCTATCTTTGTTAACTCTTTTCAGTAATTCCTCTCCCTGTTCCGCCGTGAACGATGACAAAGCTACACAGAAAAGAAATGTATAAGACGAGTTAATAAAATGCTTAGCTCTCTTCGATTTTTGCTTCATGTTCTATTTTATCTATTTCTAGTTTTCATCAAATCAAATCATACCTCTGGTTTGTGACAAATAACTGCTGTGTTCGCCATTCATCTTTGATACAGCCTTGGTCTAATCATAAAGAAAAATGTGTTCTTTCATATGCTTACAAATGTAATACAATTTAATGCCCTACTGCACTCACCGGCGTTGAGGTAGGATATCCCAAATCACTGTTCAAGATCTCTCGAAGATAAACAGGCTCGTATCTGACTTTTCCACCGGAGATTCTCTTTGCTTGGTAGGGTGAACGTGCAAGTTCACCATTGTCTGAAGCAGTTGAATGATTTCGTAAACTGCCGCTATAAGACGATCCCAAACTGTTTTCATCTCCCTGACTTTCATAGACTGGAGTCCTATATGTTGAAGGTTTTTTTAGAGGAAGTTACTGTATGATGATAGAGTGGGGAGTTTGGGGTGGAGTGGGGGGGGGGGGTGATCTGGCAACTATATAATTTACTATGTCAAGGACTTTCATATACTGGAGTCCTATATGTTGAAGGTTTTTTTAGAGGAAGTTACTGTATGATGATAGAGTGGAGAGTTTGGGGTGGAGTAAGGACCTGGCAACTATATAATTTACTATGTCAAGGACTTTCATATACTGGAGTCCTATATGTTGAAGGTTTTGAAGAGGAAGTTACTGTACAATGATAAAGTGGGGAGTTTGGGGTGGAGTGGGGGGGGGAGTGGTGGTTCCAGGGGTGGGTGGGTAGCATGGCCTGCCAACTATATCATTTACGGTGTGAATTAGTGAAATGATAATCAGGTTTCGTACATACAAGCCAGGAAGAGTTTAATTCAAAGACTTTTCAAGGACGTTTCAAGGCCATGTATCAGGAAATTCAAAGACGAAGGGCTGAAAAGGTGTTAGAAATCAGTAAAAAGTGACTTTAAACTGTTCAAACGGCAACTTTAATCGGAATGTCAAACAGCTTTGGCTTTTGTAAGACATGAACAAAATCAATTTACAAAATGTTCAATTCTTAATGCCAAACAATTTCAGAAAATATCCACTAAAGCAAGAACAATTTAAGGACTTTCAAGCACTTCTTTATAAACTCAAGGACATTCAAGGCCTTGCATTTTTGTTTCCAAATTCAAGGATTTTCAAGTTTTGTGTGAACCCTGGATGATAATGCAGACAAACAAACCTCCTATTTGAAGATGATCTTCTTGAATGATTTCTTTCGTGCTGAGAATCATCTTGATAGCTGTCTAAAATTGATCAATGATAAGATACTAGACCAAATTAAGCCATTAGTGGAAAATATTTGGTGAAGTATTTAGTCAAGGTACCTGATGTGCTTTCAAGTTCTCCTCTGATCCAGCTGGGTGTATTGATGTCCTCTACCTGGACAATTGAATACAATCTATGACTATACAATTACTTTATGGTTTCCATTTTTGGACAGCCTGATCCAAACATTTGGGAATGTTGCTCGAGTTAAGAAAAGCATGCAAAACCACTCGCCGAAGTTTCATAAAATAACAACTTTCCGGGTTAAAATTTCACTTTAAAAAACTTTCACTTTAAATTTCTGTGTTTGGATGGCCTGATCCAAACACAGGTTTCGACCAATCAGAGCACGCTTTATATACATGTTATTTTATAATATACTATCATAATATACCCTTCAGGAATGTATGTAACCTTGGCTATAGAGCCTTGTTTTTGTGCATGTGAGATTAGTTAACCAAGAGTTGCAATCAGGAGAGTGAGGCTTTCTGGACGCATGTAGTGATATCAGCAAATGTAACAATTACTCAATGAAGACTTACTTCTTGTTCGGATAAAGAACTCTGCACTGTCGGATCATCAGCATAAATGGACTGTGTGGAGAAGAAATGACTAAAATTAGCCGGAAATTTTTTAAAAATTTTATTACGATTGTTGTTTTTGTTGAAGATTTCCAAGATTAAAAAAAAATTTGCTCAACTTAAATTTGGTATGAACCACACTTTAAATTCCTAACTGATAAAATTGTTTATTAACGGAAGTATCATGTTCTTTTATATAATTGAAAAAATACAATAACTTCACTTTGGGTTTCTTTTCATGAGCAACTTCCCAGACTCACCATATAAGCAGGCATGGTGGGGAGTGGCCCAGCTTCAGGTTGTTGAGAGAACGGTTCTTCAATCAAATCACGTTTCAACATCGCCAACAACACTTGAGCATACATGTTCCTGTTTTTCCTGATGGGAAACAATATAATACAATATAAGAAGTCGCTAGCGGGACAAAAGTCTATAGAAAATGGTTCTGAAAGCTTCAAAAACGCATCATTCACCTGGACAAGAGTGAAGTGCCAGGAGGTTCACAAAGTTTCTTGATCCACATTGCAATCCTTTGACGTTCTGGTGAAAGAAGAAGTCTTTAGCCTGATTTATACTATCTGTGAGCTGTGTTTCTGTGAGCTGTGTTTCTGTGATCACAGTAGGAATTTTGCATGGGTAAATTTGAAGGATTTGTAAGAAATGTTTGAAGCAAACTGACTTGGCATTAACAACTAACTCAGTTCCTTCAAACACTTCTTACAAATCCTTCAAAACTTTAGCTATGCAAAATTCCTACTGTGATCACAAAGACTTTGATGGTGTAAAACTGGACTTAAGAAAGGCTATTTAGTAAATTATTTCTGGAGTATTTGAACACAGTTACCTTTACTGTCCACGGAGCTACATGGAGTTGGTACATAAAGCCAAGGCATAATGTTGAGTAATTTTGGAACAAAATTTGACAATACAAACTACTTTATTCCAGCATTCAAATTACTAACGGTCACAAAACATTATCCCCATAATTGCACAAACAATACAGTTATTACCAATGATTATTGACTAATAATTGCAATTTGAATGTCAACTGTCGTTGGTAAACAAAATATTCATGAACAGAGCGACTATGTAAACATTACTAATCCAACAAGCTTAGAATTATTAGAAGAGATTATAAGAATAAATCTTTCTTTAACCCATTGAGTGGCGGCACTCTCCACTTGACGAGTAAAATCGTCTGGTGTTAGACAGAGTAAAATACTTTGGCATTAGACAGATTAAAATACTAAAATAGGGTGCATTGCCACTTAAAGGGTTAAAACAAGGTATTTTGATCGAAACTAGATGAATTGTGGTAAATGACACCAGAATATATATTAGAAGTGACCTAATATAGTGATGAGCTTCATATTTATTTGGAGTGAGACTCTATTGGACGTCGGTTCCAGTCTGTTTCTATTGTATTTATCTGCACGGTCAGACACAAATTTTGTATTTTGACATCGATTTAAGGAATAACACTACAGTTTTATGAACTGATCATCAGCTTTGTGTTAACCGCACAGGCAAAAACAATAGAACGAAACTGGCTCTTCAATTTCCGTCCAGATATACACTGTATGGAGCGGACCGGTTGCAATTAGTTCAAACAATCAGCATGAGGCAAATTAAACGCGATTGGCTGATCAGATTAAAACCTGTCAAACGCTTTGAACAAGTTTCGTCTGAACATCCATTGTGGAAAGTTTGTATCGTGTGGCGGAGATATCACTATTAGCTGCATAATTTTGATGGTTTCTATATATTTACTATTAAAATTTCAAAATCTCCGGCACGCAATTTCCAAACTTTCCAGTCAGGCCGAACATACATAGATCATATTCTATCTTACTATTTTCTACCAAATAAGTAAAAAATTACCAGATTTCTTAGCCAACTTTAAGACAAATGGTTTCATACAATCCACAAAATTATTAAAAATCTCATCAAGTTTTTCTGTTGCTGAGCTTCCTCTGACGTTTCTGCCATCCCGTTTCCTTGCCGAAGCTGCCATATTTACTGTAGTTTTACACAAGTCAATAAAAGCAATCTTTTGAGCCTCTTAACTTTATACACCACAAGAGAGCATATTAAAATGATAAAATACAAAGTCTGAGAGATTTCCTCAAGATAAGATGTTTGCAGGTACATTCCATATTAAATAGTGCTGTTCTTTCATCTCTGGCTAGGTAAATTGGCGTTTTAAAACTCCTCAATAAATGCCATTTGCCTGAAACGACTCATCCAAATTATTCCGTTTGCTGCGCTATTTCATGGCGTATTTTTACATCTTTAGCAAAATAACGTTATAGCATAAGAGAAACGAACAGAAGGCATCAGAATTTCGCTTTAAAAACAAGAAAGTTATTACTTTTCTGCAAATTTATGCACAAATAAAATTGAATTCTCCCGCGGACTTTTCAAGTCGTTGAAATTTCGGAAAAGAATACGGGATTTGACACTGTCGTTAATATTGCACCCGGCATTTGATACCACTCTTTGAAATATAAAGCAATTTGCCTGAATTTAGTTTAGTTTTATTTGACAAATTGCTGAACTATTCACCCTTATATTATCGATGAAATTTTTTCCTGTTTATTTTACTGTTTTTCACTTGGTTTTAGCAAACAAATAATGAAATAAACAAACTAATATCCAGCAAACAGAATAAACAGACGAAATTAAACCCCGGATTTTTGTACCTACGGATAATTTCGTATCGCTATGCCATTCAAAATGGCGGACAATTTTGTGCAATCTTTAACAGTTTTCGTGCAATTTTAGCAAGAATGGCATCGAAACAACACATTAAAGAAACAATTAATGCGTTATGCAAGATACTTCTACAGAATGCAGGCACAAAAATAACGCCGGAGCAATTTAGGCTCGCGAAATTCGACAAAAATGAAGTTGCAGGAGTGATGTGGAAATTACTTTTTGAAACAATTTGGTTTCTAAAATTTAACACATTCCGAACTACTGAAGACTTTAACGGTGACCAGAATCGAGATATGATCTTGTGGACTAAACACGAGCTTCTTGAAAGGGGATATTATATTAAGGCTTTTTATGATTTACCAGAGGACATGAGTTTTGGCAGTAGGGAAATTTTGCTTGCTTTTGGCTGGTTGGTGTCAAAATCAAAACTTCTACATCTTTTTCTAGACAACTGTAATAATATGTTTGAAGAATGTTTACCAATAGATTGGGAATTATCGATTGGACCACGCCCATCAAATTCAAAAAAATCTGAGAAATTTTCTAATAATTATTCAAATAAAACTGAAGAAATTGTTAACATAGACCAGCTTTCTTGGATGGTAGGAAATTTGACACTAACTTTCAAAGGGTTGTTCACAGCTGAGAATCAATTAGCATCCTTGGTTGGCAAAGTGCATTCGGCAACCAAAGGTGCAGACACGCCCAAAGGACATCTTTCGGCTTTAGAAGTGTTCCTACTCCGACACCCAAAGGAACTTGCAAGATTTATGGAAAAAACTCGGCAGTATTCTACATATCTTGAAAATTTATTGACATTTGTTGAAATGCAAGATGTGTTTTGGAGATGGTTAGAAAGCGTCTACGAGGCCAAGATTTTGGAATGCAACGACACGGAAAGTTTGACGTGGAACAGTAAGAAACCTTGTCGAACATGCTGTGAAATTTCAGATGAAAGATTGTTGGGTATTTGTAATATTCAGGCTGAAATTCAGAAAGCTATTGATGAGAATGAAAGGCGGTGCACAGCAACGTATGAACAAGCAACATCAGATGAGTTGCAATCAATATGCCAAACAAAATTGCAAGAACTAAACAAAAAAATACAAACTTTGACACTAAATGAGAAACCTCAATCCAAACACGCTGAAGTGCAAACATTTCCAGAACTAAAGCATGTTAATATAGCCAGTGGCGGAACGAAACAGTCGGGGCAAAGCTCCGCTCAGCAAGAAATTGATGTATTAAGAGTAAAACTTTCAGAGCTGGAATTGAATCTTATAGAAGTTAGAAATGAACATTTTGATATTTTAAATGACTTAGTTGGGAATTTAGAAGATTCTGTCTTTATCCCTCCAATTGGGAATTGTAAATACACAGAGCTTAGAAATAAATGATAGAATTGATAGCACCTGAAGTCTGTGGAATAAAGACTTTTCTCAATGTCACCATCTGCAACTTACAAGTATATGCATTTAATAGTCAGGCAGGTAGATAGACAGCCATACAGTTGGTTCATCAATCAGTCGGCAAGACAGTCAGCAATAATTTATCTTGACTTTGACATGGAAAATTTTCAAAAAAGTAAAAAAATACTAAACCTTTTTAGGTGGGTTTTGTCAATGGAAATTTCGGATGTGGGTCTTATACATTTATTATTAGATATTTGCAACTATTGACCCTCGGGCAGCTACCTCCTCCGCAGGCCTTCGTCTCAGATTTCAAATTTTAACCTGCAAACAGGCATACTCATTAATTACGGGTTGTATGGCCTGCGGAGGAGGTAGCCTCAGGCAGGAATCGAACCTGTGAACCTGCGATTCCGGTGCAGTGCTCTGACCGACTGAGCTATACATGAACTTGTGGTTTGACAACTGGACTCTGTAGGGTCCTGTAGCTCAGTTGGTTAGAGCGCTGCACCGGAATTGCTGCAGGTTCGATTCATGCAGGTTCGATTCCTGCCACTTGTTGCATTTTTTGCAACTGTTCCTGGTTAGGTCTTTCATCCTGTTGTAAATTAGTAGCTTAATTAGATTCAGTAAAAATATATTGTAAAAATTTATATATGCATGCCAATGTTATGACCAAAAAATATGTATAAAGTTATGGTTATGATGAGCATAAAGTTATGGTTATAAGTTATGGTTAAAAATATGTATAAAGTCTGGTTATGATGAGCTAAGTGCCAAAGTAATAAAGTTCATTGGAAATGAAATCTGTAGACCATTAGCTCATATATTCAATTTGACATTTTCCACTGGAATTATTCCAGACTCTTTAAAAATAGCATTGGTAACTCCTGTATAGAAGGCAAATGAAGACTTCAAAAGATTTCAAAACTACAGACCTATTTCGGTACTATCATGTTTTTCAAAATTATTGTTAAAAGTAATGTATCAAAGATTGATAAAATTTATTGACGCAAATGAAATCTTGTCGAAACACCAATACGGATTTAGGAAAAATAGATCAACAGAACATGCAATTATTAAAATTACTGACAAAATTTCCAAAGCAATAGATGAAGGCAAATACACAATTGGAATTTTCCTTGATCTCTCAAAAGCATTTGACACAGTCAACCATGAAATTCTTATAAAGAAGTTAGAACATTATGGTATAAGAGGATTATGCATTGAATGGTTTAAAAGTTATTTGAAAGAAAGAAAACAAATAGTAAAATATAAAGAATACAATTCATCAGAAATGACTATTACTACTGGTGTTCCTCAAGGATCAATACTTGGACCTTTGCTCTTTTTGTTATATATCAATAATATTGAAAATTGTAGTAATATTATAGCATTTGTCTTGTATGCAGATGACACAAATGCTTTTTATTCAAATTCTTGCTTAACCTCTTTAACGAATATAATGCAATAAATGAATAAAATTATGAATTGGCTTAAGGCCACATAAAATAAATTCCTTGATTCTCATCACCGTCCGACTGTATTTTAAGAGCCGCGTGAATTTTTTTTATATTTTGTTATAAATATAAATGTACCGCCCGACAAAATATTTCAAGACAGTTAAGTTTTTTATATTTTATATTGGGTTATTAGTGCCATTTTAAACTGCCAATTTCAAACAAATAGAACCTTGAAAGAAATTTCATTGCATTTTAACGGAACTTCGCATTCAGTTCAAGGGCTGGCCAGTCATTGTTCGTGGAGAAATATGTTTATATCAGTTTGTGACACTTTTATTTATTGATATATATATAAATTATATAAATATAAAATATAAACCTCCCGCCTCTTCGACATTTTCAAAGTTAGGTGATGAGCATCAAGGAAATTATTTTATGTGGCCTTAAATGCTAATAAATTATCAATTAACGCTTCTAAAACGAAATTAATTCTTTTCAAATCAAAAAATAAAAAATTGGAATCTCAAAATATTACAATAAAAATAAGAAATGAATTGATCCAAAAGGTCTCTTATACAAAATTTTTGGGTATACTAATTGATGAAAATTTAACGTGGAAAAATCATATTGATTCTATATGTAAAACTATTGGCAAGTTTACTCGACTAATTTCAAAATTGCGACATTTTACGAACTTGAACACTATAACTGAGTTGACCTATTATGCTTTAATTTATCCATACCTTACATATGGTAATTTAGCTTGGGGTAATACATACCCTTCGAAAATTGAAAAGCTTTTCAGAATTCAAAAGAAGATTATTCGATTAATGAAATTTAAATCATATACACAGAACATACAAAACCGCTATTTAATGATTTGAAAATATTAAATATTTTCAAAATTAACGATTACCTTACCAGCTTATTTATGTACCGTTGCAACTGTACTAATGATTTACCCGACATTTTTAATGGCTACTTCATAAAAAATTCAAACATTCATGAACATTGCACGCGAAATTCAAAAAAATTTCATAAAGTTTATACAAGAACAAACTATAGAAAACAATCTGTTGTTAGTAAAGGTATTGACATTTGGAATAATTTAAGTACCGAGTTAAAAAATATTGGATCATATATGGTTTTCAAAAAAAATGTGAAAACATACTTTATATCACACCAATCAGCTAATTAATCATCCTATTTTAATGTATAAAGTTTAAAAAATCTGAAAAATCTTGTAAATAGACTAACTTTCCTTTAACACCCTCACAATTGTATATATTTTCGTTATTATATTATGTACTATTTTTATGACATCATGAAATTATACTAAGTAATAAAAGTTTTGTTATAACTAGGGGTCTTAAAATAAAAGCCCAAAAGGGTTTCTAAAAGATCTCTAGCCCTACGTATAGATTATAAAAATGTAAATAGTTAAATTTTATTGTACTTTGGAAAATTGGGCGAAATAAATTAATAAAAATGGGTACGTAAGGGAAGTAGACGGAATGTAAGACGGAATGTAGAGACGGAATGTATGTACGTGAGGGAAGTAGACGGAATGTAAAGGCTGATTTCCACTGTTGCGTTTTTCATACGTACGTATACGCACGTAAAACTTTAAATTCGTTAAAATGTTACTTATCAAACAACCAAATAAATAAAGCAACAGAATTTAGTGTTCCGCAAGTTTTAGTATGCATTTGTTAACTTAATTATTTGTAAAATATTTCAAAAATAGAACGATTCCAAGTTTTACGTGCGTGTACGTGCGTACGAAAAACGCAACAGTGGAAATCAGCCTTAAGACGGAATGTAGGTACGTGAAGTAGACGGAATGTAAGACGGAATGTAGGTACGTATACGTACCTTACGTGACTTACGTAAGGGAAGTTTGTGGGTTGACTTGTGATCAACCAAGCGACGAAGATGTGAATAATGTGCGTCACACATTGAACTCCCTCTGGGAAAAAGTTCCCACAGTATGAAAAGTCAGAGCGTATAAATACGAGTGAGATTGTCGAAAGAAAGAGTGGAGTTGCGAATGAGTTGTGAATGTGTTGAAATGAATTGTGAAAGATTGTGATAGAGTGTTTGTATATCGATAGCAGTGATCAGTCATATGTAAGGAATGAAAATAGAATAAAATTTGTGAAAACCGAAAGCATACAGTCCATTAGGCATTATATTCGAGAACCAGCAAAGGAATAAATCTCACGAGGAGAATTTATAACACATCCTTCAATAATTAAAAGGTAACATATTAATTAAACAATTACAGTCAAATAAAATGACAGTCCCATATTAACATAAATGACAATTTATGTTAATATAATTATTTTAATTTACTTTAAATATATTATTTTTAGCCCCATTTTTAACCTTTTATAATCCCCATTTCTTAGAGCCTGTTCGCAGGCTAATTTCTTCGTAATTCGAGAAACAGCTGCAACCGGAAGCAAAATAAACCTTGACTTTCTGAGACATTTTGACATTTGATCTGCATTGATCAGAATGACGCAGAATGTAACTCCATCTGCTACCCAAAATATTAAAGTGTACATAGAGTACAATGGTATTCCTTTAAAACTATCTTTTATTTCTTATCAATTCGTCCTATAAAACTAAGGTTTTAGATTGTTGGTTTTTGACAAGGAATGAACGAAGTGGTTTATGATGTTATTGTTATCGGAGGCGGAATATCGGGCTTGACATCAGCATATCGTTTGTTGCAACATGATCCATCCTTGAAAATATTAGTCCTCGAAGCCAAAGGTATTGAAATGCAATCTTTTCTACGTTTCCGTGATATTTATAATTACAGTGTTTGACACTATAAATAGTCAGTAATGTACACTATGTGTCAAAATGTAGAAATTAATAAACATTTAATATATTAATATTCATTAATTATTAATAACATTGCAACATGCAAGTTGGGTGTTTTTATTACATAGAGGTGAGCTACAGGCTTGGTAGGTTTGCTGAATAATTAGGCCAAACACTGTCACACTAGGTCTTTGTTTTCTTTGTCTTGGCCCTTTGTTTTCTAAATTTGGCCTAATTATTCATCTAACTTACCAACCCTGGTGAGCTAACTTGTATTCAGGCATTGTTTTTAATATGAGTATAATGTGGACACAGCAAACTAAATTGCAGAGATCCAGTTCAAGGCAATCAATATGGGTTAACCAAAGAGAAGACGCAGTATAGTCTCTATTTGCACTTTCAGCAAGCATTAACAAGTTAACCAGACACCTGCCCATGTCTTTTGTTCAGTGGTGAAACTAGTCATGGCAACTGGTCATGTTATGTTAATAAACCTGCATCTTAATAGGTTCAACACGATATATTTCTAAAGGTTTGAAATATGCAAATCATTAAAAATTTCAATGGCACGACCCGTTGCTATGGCTAGCTTCTCCACTGTTTTTGATAGTTATTTTAATAGCTTAAAAGCTGCAAACATCATATTTTGTTATTTTAATTACACTGTCTGTACCAGATGATTATACCTCTGGAGATTTTACCATTGAACATTGAATTATTAATACATTGAATGCAAGCACTCTTCCCTTAATGAGTAAAATTGTCTGACATTAGACATAATGATAAAATTGAGCACATTTGGCCACAATAGAATGGGTTAAATTAAAGAAAAATATGGGTTCACCAATCCTCTGATTCCCTAGATTGACATGCCTTAAGCTATATGATTTAAATACTCCCCCATCATATAATTGATTTGCTGACAGACAGGGTTGGTGGTCGTACTCTGACAACAAAACTCAAGTGTAAAGATGGGGAAGATTTCTGGGATCTTGGCGGACAATGGGTTGGAAGGTAACTTAAAAATAACTGACCTTGTATTTCATAAAATTCATGGCATGTAATGGGCACATCAGGTAACCATTGTGTGTCCATGGGTGGACCATGGGACGAACACACCTAGTACATCTTGAAGAGAGGGCTAAAGTTAGAGTAGATTCCGGCAGGCAACACGAGAAAGGTATAAAGCATTACAATTCCGAAAACAACACACTACATTAGTGACATAGCAATGTTTTCAAGCAGCAATATTTTTGAACCAGGCGAGCAACATGCATACCCACTCTAAACGTCTGTGTTATTCTTGTATTTTAAATCAGCAACCTTACCTCTTGATAATAAACCATTATTTCACTGTAGACCTCAGGTTCATGTTATAGAGCTCATCAAGGAATTGGGACTGGAGGTTTATGACCAATTCAGCAAGGGAGCAAAGTTTGCAAGATTGAGTGATGGTAACGTACGCAAGTATTCGTCAAGTTTACCAAAACTATCACCATTTTCACTTCTGGATATTTATTTCTTCATCAATAAGGTAAGATGTGTTAGTGACAATGATGGTGGTGACAATGATGGTGGTGATGATATAGTGATGATAATATGGTGGTGATGATTATGATGGTGGTAGTGATGATAGTGATGATGATAGTGATGATGATAGTGATGATGATAGTGATGATGATAGTGATGATGATAGTGATGATGATGATAGTGATGATGATAGTGATATGATGATAGTGATGATGATAGTGATGATGATAGTGATGATGATAGTGATGATGGTGATGATGATGATGATAGTGATGATGATAGTGATGATGATAGTGATGATAGTGATGATGATGATGGTATGATGAGGATGGTATGATGATGATAATGATAGTGATGATGATGATGGTATGATGAGGATGGTATGATGATGATGATGATAGTGATGATGATGATAGTGATGATGATAGTGATGATGATGATGATGATGATGATAGTGATGATGATGATGGTATGATGAGGATGGTATGATGATGATGATGATAGTGATGATGATAATGATAGTGATGATGATGATAGTGATGATGATAGTGATATGATGATAGTGATGATGATA